GGGGAGGGGGAGAGACGGGGAGGAGAGAGGAGAGACCGAGAGGAGAGAGGAGAGATTGAGAGGAGAGAAGAGAGAGGAGAGACCGAGAGGAGAGAGGAGAGACCGAGAGGAGAGAAGAGGAGAGACCGAGAGGAGATAGGAGAGACCGAGAGGAGAGAGGAGGAGAGACCGAGAGGAGAGAAGAGGAGAGACCGAGAGGAGAGAGGAGAGACCGAGACGAGAGAGGAGGAGAGACCGATAGAAGAGAGGAGGAGAGACCGAGAGGAGAGAGGAGAGAGGAGAGACCGAGAGGAGGAGGAGAGACCGAGAGGAGGAGAGACCGATAGAAGAGAGGAGGAGAGACCGAGAGGAGAGAGGATAGACCGAGGAGAGACCGAGAGGAGAGAGGAGGAGAGACCGAGGAGAGAGGAGGAGAGACCAAGAGGAGAGAGGAGGAGAGGAGAGAGGAGAGAGGAGAGAGGAGGAGAGACCGAGAGGAGGACAGGAGAGAGGAGAGAGGAGAGAGGAGGAGAGACCGAGAGGAGGAGGAGAGACCGAGAGGAGAGAGGAGGACAGGAGAGAGGAGGAGAGACCGAGAGGAGAGAGGAGGAGAGACCGAGAGGAGAGAGGAGGAGAGACCGAGAGGAGAGAGGAGGAGAGACAGAGAGGAGATAAGAGGACACACTCACCGGAAGAATTCGGCTCCCATGCAGACTGTTAATGGCAGACTGGGCCTCTGAGTGAGTCTGGAACTTCACAAACGCACAACCTGTGAAAACAAGACAAACATCAGATTGTGTGTGGCAGATTAAGTTTGTGTTTAACACAGTCTACCGGCATGAAAATGTCCTCCAGATTTAGAGAAATATAGCATTGCAAACACGCAGTCTTTATCTTCTCAAGACATTAACTGGTGGACTGGAGTGCCGTGGATTACTTGTGGATTATTGTGATGCTTTTATCAGCTGTTTGGACTCTCATTCTGACGGCACCCATTCACTGCAGAGCATCCACTGCTGAGAAAGTGATGCAATGCTACATTTCTCCAAAACTCATCTACATGTTGGATGGTCTGAGGGTGAGGACATTTTCATTTCTGGGTGAACTATTCCTTTAACAGACCTTTGCTGGTGCCGTCAAGTCCTTTCAGTACCGTACACTCATCAATGCTCCCAAAAGGCTCAAACATCTTCCTCACGTCCTCATCAGACTGCTGCTTTCCCAACATCCCCACAAACAGCTTTCTATCCTCTAAAAAGAGTGAAAATGGGAGAAATGGTCATGATCTGTTATTCAGTATCATGACTTTATTTCAATTCTAGCTTTTTTGTGAAGTGTGTCAGTATAAGTTGTAGTACCATCAGTCTCCAGGAGAGGGAGTTATAAACTGGCTGTAATATGAACTCTGCGTGTGTGTGTGTGTGTTGGTTTGATTATACAGTACTTGTAAGGCCCAAATGTCCTCACTAATACAACACAGTTGCAACATGCCTCTGATGTCATCTCTATTCCTGGTATGTATCTACAGTACTAATACAACTCTTCCACACTGCTCTCACTGTATGGCAGGCCGTTTTAACATCTATTGCTTAAACTGTATTGGTATAAAACACTGAAACAGAAATCTCATCTCTTGTCTTTTGCTGCATTACTATTTAACATTGATTGCATACTATAGAGAAAAGCTACTAGAAATATTATGAGTGCCTACTAAATTTGGAATGGGTTAACTTTTTTTAATTAAAAGCACTTGTATTTATATTTTCTAGTAAAATAAATGCATGTTTATTGTTGAAAACCCAATGGTCACTGTTATATTACATTGTATTATTAAAAAAAAAAAGGTGCCAGTAACATACAGATGCTAAAATTAACCATTTAAAATGAACTATACTGTTTTTTTAGTCTAGTTAGTTTTCATTTAAATGTTCAAATGTCTTGCCATAGCTCTCTGGGAGGAGCTCTCTCTCTGTCTAACACAGAGAAAAGCGGAAGTAAAGACAGCTTGTTGTTATGCGTCAAAATGGCGTCACAATAGAGTTTTAACTTTTTTTAACGTTCATTTTGAGGGAAAAAAACGACTCTATTCAGCACTTGGAACTTTCCATTGTTGCTGCTGAATGCTTTTGCAGTGAGTTGAACTAAATATTTGGTCTCGCATTAGAGAGAGTCAGGGTTGTTTTCACCTGTCGGTGCGTCAAAGCAGAATTTTTCATTACAGTCAGAAAACTGTAATAAATCTGCAGTTAATCTTAATGACCAGCCCACAAGTGTGATATGAATCATAGTATTGAGTGTATTTTTTAAGCTCAGCACAATGACTGACGTGACGTAATAGTATTTGCTGATGTGTGTTTCAGTGCATCATAATGAAGGCTAATCGGAATTTGATTTTGGCTTCAACATTTATGGTTGTACTGTATGAAGGTAGGGAACTTCTTTTTTTGTCTTTCCCTTTTTTATTTAGGTTGATTGTTGTGTTTTTATACAGTATAATTACCCAGAATCACAGCCATACTGATGTTCAGTACCAAGGCGCTATACTGTATATTTCATATGCATTTGGTCGAGTAATAATTTTCTTGCAATTCAACTGTATGCATATGTATAGTTGCATATCTGTTCACTACACAGTATGTTTGCAATAAATTCCCAGTAACACTTTAGAGTGTCCTTGTTATACATGTACTTACTATAGTAATAACAGCAAAATTACAAACAACTAACCCTAAATCAAACCTTAAATCTGTAGTTAATACACTCTTACACATAAAGGATCCAAAGGGATGCTTTAAAAAGAGCCATTTTTGGTTCCTCGAAGAACATTTCAGTGATCAGTTCTTAAAAGAAACAGTTTATTCTTAGTGTGAAGAACATTTTAATCATCTAAAGAACCTTTTTCCACTATTTGTGCGATGGAAAGGTTCCACGGATGTTAAAGCTTCCACAGATGCCAATAAGGACCCTTTATTTTTAAGAGAGTATTGTTAATATTACTTAGTGCTTGTTTGTGTTATTGCACTGTAACAATGACACCTTTAAAAAAGTGTAACCAAAATTCCCTTCATTAGAGTGTCTATCTCTTCTGTGATTCTGTTTCAGGAGCGTTCTGCCACAGTATTCGGACTGATTTTGTGTTACTAAACCAACCGTACACATTCCCCGGTAACGCCAGCGGCTGTCATCACGCTGAATGGAGAAAGAGACCCCCCATAGACACCACTATCGCCACATACAAAAACCATGCGTGCACGACTGACAGAATTTTTGAGGAAGAATTGACATGTAAAGACAACCACCTGCTTCTCAAATCATCAAAATACACCGACCAGGGGCCCTATGAGTTCATCTGTAACGGGGTTCCAACTTTAATTCATCTGGATGTTTTATGTAAGTCTTTACTATATCTGATTCATACACTACCAGTCAAAAGTTTGGAATAATTGAAATGTTTTTGTTTGTGGAAGCCATGCATTTTTTGTTGTTGTCAGGATTCTTTAATGAATAGAAAGTTTAAAAACAACATTTATTTGGAATAGAAATAATTTATAAATGTCTTTACCGAAGCTTTGATCAATTTAATGCATCCTTGAAATACTTCAGTTTTTAATGATATGACGGTTTCCACAGAAATATTGTGCAGCACGACTGTTTTCAGCATTGATAATAATCAGAAATGTTTCTCGAGCAGCAAATCAGCATATTATACTGATTTCTGAAGATCATGTGACACTGAAGACTGGAGCAATGATGCTGAAAATACAGCTTGATAATTACAGTTTATCAGATATTTACATAGAATTGCAATAATATTTTGCAGTATTACTGTTTTTACTGTATTTTTCATTACATAAATGACACATTTTAAAAAAATTATTATTTGACTGGTTGTGTATAAGAGAGCTACTTCAGTAGATCATCAGCACATGATCGTGATTTAAGTCATGTTCCCTAAATAGATGCTCTAAATGAGAGCGCAGAAGAAACGGACAACATCACCCTGAACTGTTATGCGCACAATGCCAAAGATGTGAAGTGGCTGCATAACAACGAAAGTGTTTTGTACTACAAGATAAACGGATCCGAGAATCCTGGCAAAGGCTACGAGGGAAGAGTTTTTTTGCTGGAGAAGAGCTGCTTCAAAACCGGCGATCTCTCTTTGACCGTCACTCGTGTCCGCAAGGCAGATGATGGAATATACCGTTGCTTTGTGGATGATGAAACGGTTAAAGGAAACCCACACGCCTATGTGCTGCATGTGAACGGTAAGACATGGGAAACTTGATTGCATTGTATTACATGTAATTTTACCAGTCAACGTTGGCATAATAACAATCCGGTGCATTTCGGCCTGAAAAATGCAGTCAAGAGTCTATAAGCCTGATTCTGTTGTTTAATTCACACAGAGAAAAACTCCGGTCCAGGAGACCAGACACACTCCAGCTGCAACGAAGCAATTCTGATCGCGCTCACTGTAGTTTTTGGGCTCATCTCAGTGATCAGTGTGACATATCTGATCACCACAGAACTACGCAATCGTCAATCCAAGTCCACTACAGCGACTCAGAGTAGTGAGGGTGACGCCACTGAAACCCAGCGTATGCTGATGTCTGCTATTAGCACAACTTCACCCGTCAGTGGAAGTCAGGCGGTGGTTCCTCATCCTGTTCAGGAGAGCGATTTCACGGGAAATAAGCCTTCCAACACCAGGCCTATTATGTAATCTGGAGAAACGAGGCCTGTGAAGATACGGTCAGCTAGGCCTGTTTCACACAGCAAGCAACAGAGCTTTACAGTATTTCTGCTGCATAACCAACTGCGATCAAATATTGATTTACTGGGGCCAACTTTGATCATTGTGGAACTGAATTTACTCGAGAAGCAGGACCACATTTACATGCAAACTGTAATGAATGTAAACAATCAAGTTTAAACATTACTCACTCCAGCATTAAATGTTTCTTTACTGAAAAAAAGACTGTTTTAATTAAGTATGGAATAACTGACGATGGTTTCAGTGTGTGTGTGTGTGTGTGTGTGTGTGGAAGAAAGAATGTGTACATGTTATTTAGCTGCAAAATAGTTTGTTATATGTCTTTGCAGTCAGTGTTGTTGTAGGCTTTGATTAATTTGCTGTTGCAGGGACTTAACTTAATAAATAACTTAAATAATATAATATGAAGCTGTAATGAGAGTCCTGGAACTACTTCATACACTCTTAAAAATAAAGGTGCTTCACGATGCCATAGAAGAACCTTTTTGTCTAAATGGTTCCATAAAGAACCTTTAACATCTGAAGAACCTTTCTGCTTCACAAAAGGTTCTTTGTGGAGAAAGAAGGTTCTTCAGATTATAAAAAGGTAAGAAAGAGATGGTTCTTTAAAGAACCTTTGACTGAATGCTTCTTTGTGGAACCAAAAATGGTTCTTCTATGGCATCGCTTGAAGAACCTTTTGAAGCACCTTTATTTTTAAGAGTGTAGCTGGGCGTTTACTGGAAAATAATAATCGCACACCTTAAAGTGTTCGTCAACCAATTAGAATCAAGCATTTAACAACCCTGTGATAAAATAGTTTTTTTATTTTCATATACCCTAATATGGGCAATGAAAAGATTACGGTACATAGTTGCTGCTTATCAGACCATATATATACAGTATATATATATAAAAAAAACATTTTTCTCAGCATTAGTCTTTTTAATGCATTAGCCCTTTTAATGTTAATTTATTGAATGTTTTGTAGGAAGACTGTCTCATCAAAACCTCATGCATGAAGAGACTTCATATACAGCTCCTGTTAAGCACTTTTCTGACTCTGAACACTTTACTGTGGCCTTTGCTATTTCATATATTTTCTGTTCTTTTTAAGATATGCATTTCTTATTTTTATTTTCTATTTAATGTGTACAGCTTTATATTTGTGGTGAGTGTTACTTGTAGTAGTTGAAATGCCTCATTAAAACGTTTTGCAGTAGTGTTAGTATAGTGGTTTCTAATGCTGACTGAACAATAAGGTTGTATCAGCAAACCAATGGAAGTATTCAGATTAATCAAATGTACAGGGTGCCAGTCAATAAAACACATTTTATCTTGAACAAATGGTGTTGTTTTGAATTTACACACATTTGCACAAACTGTTTTCAGCATCAATGATGATTTGCTGCTCAAGAAACATTTCTCATTATTAGACTTGATTATACTGATTTCTGAAGATCAGAAAATACAGCTGCGCATCACAGAAATACATTACAGTTTAACAGAGATTCACATAGAAACTGGTTACTTAAAATTTTAACATTTCACAGTATTACTCTATAAATATAACTTTATTTATGATCAACTGAATGCAGCCTTGATGAGCAGAAAATCTCACCAAGTCATTAGAAATCTTTATAATAAGCCAAATAAAGATGTATAACAGATGATTTACCTCCTCTCCCCTCACTGTTCGCAGGCTTCACTTGAATGGGCCGATTCATCTAAAAAATAAAAATGAATAAAAATAATTCAAATGACAAAATATACAGACTCTGTTCATGCATCATACAAGACAATTTTAGCAATGGATTAAGACTTCCCATACACTGTACATAACCATAGCCTCCTGTTTTTAACATAACTTTTGATGACTGCTACACCTATTTTTTTTCCATGCGTTTATAATTTTGCTATCACTGTTTCATATAAAACAGCACATAGCAATCTGTGGTCGCTCGCTTTGCATTAATGCTTAATGCTGATTTCCATATGCTCTTCAGCATTAATATTCTGTGACCTTTTGAACCTGCTGCCCTGCACTTAAACTAATGTGCACGGGATTGTAGAGATCAGCTTTAGAATGATGGCCATCTGATCTGGATTACAGAGATACAGGATTACACTGAACAGCATGTGTGTGTGTGTGTGTGTCTGTGTGTGTGTGTGTGTGTGTGTGTGTGTGTGTGTGAGGTATATGCGTGTGTGTGTGTGTGTGTGTGTGTGTGTGTGTGTGTGTGTGTGTGTGTGTGTGTGAAAGAGAGAATGTGTGAATCCACCAGTGAGCTGCGAAAAAGGAAATACTAAAATGTATCTTAAAAAAATAAAAACTCTATGTATCCAAAATTTCTCTATATTATATTCAACAAAAAAAAGAGGAGAAAAAAATTAGACCCCCACCAGTTTTCATACTTGGGGCTGCCAGATGTCAAGAGTTTAAATCCCCCAGTACGAGCTTCTCTCTTAAAGGGGTGATATGATGCGATTTCAAGTTTTCCTTTCTCTTTGGAGTGTTACAAGCTCTTGGTGCATAAAGAAGATCTGTAAAGTTGCAAAGACTAAAGTCTCAAATCCAAAGAGATATTCTTTATAAAAGTTAAGAGTCAGCCACACCTGCCTAAAACGGCTCGTTCTAACACGCCCCCACATATCTACATCATTATGTGGGAAGATTTGCATAACGCCGCCCAAATGTGCGCGCAAAGAAAAAAGGCATAACTTTTATTCTCGCTGTAGTATTGTTGCTGCCGCCACCATGTCGTGAAGACGATGTGCTTCGTTGTGAAAACAAAACTACTTTGTTTGGTCTTCCAAAAGAGGACACGACTAGAAATCAGTGGTTAAGTTGTATTTACAACACTGTTCCAGAACACTTCAACCCAAATATTCAGATGTGTGATGCACATTTTGCGGAGGTTGAGGACTGTTTCCTGTGAGAGTAGCCTACAATGCCGTTGTCTGTTTCTATAAAGTGGGGCAGTTCCAACTTCCACGCCTACCTAAAACGGCTCGTTCTAACACGCCCCCACATATCTACCTCACTATGTGGGAAGATTTGCATAACGCCGCCCAAATGTGCGCGCAAAGAAGAAAGGCATAACTTTTATTCTCGCTGTAGTATTGTTGCTGCCGCCACCATGTCGTGAAGACGATGTGCTTCGTTGTGAAAACAAAACTACTTTGTTTGGTCTTCCAAAAGAGGACACGACTAGAAATCAGTGGTTAAGTTGTATTTACAACACTGTTCCAGAACAGTTCAACCCAAATATTCAGATGTGTGCAGCACATTTTATGGAGGACTGTGTCCTGATCCTGGGAGAGTAGCCTACAATGCCGGCAGTTCTGACTCACAGTCTGTAAGTACATTTTATTTAAAGGATTTGCCACTGACGATTCAAACGTGAGTTTTGAGCAGTGTAGAGTAGCGCTTGTTGTTTGTCATTCCTCCGATCACAAATGCAGATATGGTTTTGTGTTTACACGGCGAGATGCAACGCAACGCGTAGGAAGACAGAATAAGTCATTATAATCCATAATTATGTCCCCA